TCCCAACCTAATAGAAATAATTCCAACATTGTTGAATCGTTTTCGGAAATATCCTATTGCAGTAATTTCAGACATTGAGAAAGCCTTCTTGCAGATTGGTATAAGAGAGAAGGATAGAGATTATTTATGTTTCTTGTGGAAAGGTGCAGAAGAAGAGATACTAAAATTTACAGACATTGTCGCGTGGTTTTTGGGCTTAACTGTAGTCCATTTTTTGTTAGCCGCTACGTTGAACTATCATTTAAATCGTGCCCCAGATCAGTTTGCAGTACAGCCAACATTTTGAAGGAGTCCTTCTATGTTGATAATTGCCTGACTAGTTTTAAGAATGTTGAAGAATTGAATAGATTTGTACTAGAATCGAGAATGTTATTGTCACTGGGAAAGTTTAATCTTAGAGGATGGCAGTCGAATTGTGAAACCGAAATAATTCCCCCAACTCTAAATTAGATACATTCGTTTGCGTTTTAGGGTTAAACTGGGATTTGAAGGATGATACTCTTTCCTGTAAAATTGAGTCACTAAAGAAAGAGGAGATTGTCGCGAGTAAACGAACACTCCTTTCTTGCGCGCATAAGTTATTTGACCCAGTAGGCTTCCTTTCTCCCGTTACCCTGTTCCCAAAGTTGATATTGCAAGAGTGCTGGAAATTACGATTAAATTGGGATCAAAAATTGCCAGAACATTTAGAAAAGAAGTCCATGCAATGGGTAAAAGAACTGAAACTGCTGTCTGATGTCAAAATTCCTAGATGGCTTAATATTGACAGATCGGTTAACGAAGATGTAAGTCTTCATGTTTTCAGCGATGCCAGCAAGCATGCCTATGCTACCTGTATTTTCTTAAGAGTGAAGACCGAAAATAAGGTTTATTTAAATTTTGTGCAAGCACGCACTAGAGTTAAGCCTTTTAAAGAGTAATATCCATTCCTCGTTTGGAATTATTATCCTGCTTAATCGGAGCACGCTTGGGACGTATGGTCTTTTCAGATTTGAACATGCCAAATTTAAGAACATTCTTCTGGACTGACTCAACAACCGCTTTGTGCTGGATCCAGCGAGACGTACGGTGGGGAACTTTCGTTTGGAATCGTGTCCAAGAAATCAGAACACTTACAAAAATAGAAGATTGGCATTACATCCCTTCGGAGCTGAATGCCGCCGATCTCCCTTCTAGAGGCTGTTCAGTTAAACAGTTTTTGCTGTCGAAATGGTGGGAGGGTCCCATCATGGCTGTTAGAACCAAAAGTCATGTGACGTAACTCCAGGACCGATTTTGCCGAAAGATAGAGTACGTGATGCAAATATTTTTGAGATAGTGGAGCGTTGATCTGGCAGGAACCCCTCTACCTTAAAGATGGTCGGAAAAGCTTATATTGTTCTTTACACATGTGCGGTCTATAGGGCCATTCATCTGGAGTTAATAACATCCTTGACAACTGAAGTTTTTTTCCAGTCATTGAGACGTTTCATTTCTCGTCGCGGAAGACCATCTATAATATACTCAGACAATGGCAAGTAAATTTTCAAAGGAGCGGAACATGGCGCTTCTGCATACAAGCTGATACCTGGGAGAGTCGTGATCAAAGGCCGCTGAGCAAAGAATTCAGTGGAAATTTATTCCTCTTTTCGCACCTTGGTGGGGCGGTTGGTGGGAACGTTTAGTTCAAATGGTGAAACAGATTCTGAGAAAAGTTCTAGGTCGTGCTGCCCTGGATTACGAGGAGTTGCTTACAGTACTATGCGACTGTGAGAGAGTAATCAATACTAGGCCACTTACCTACGTGTCGGAAGACGTTGAAGATTCATCCCCATTAACTCCAGAAATGTTCCTGCGGGAGATTTCCAAATCAGGAGTACCTGATATCGATACAGTGGATAAGGAAAAACTGAGTAAACGAGCTAAGTATCTACAAAAGGTGAGAGAACAACTTAGAGCAAGATTCCGTGTGGAATATCTAGGACAGTTACGTCAGCAGTCCATTAAAAACTCTATAGCTAAACCTCTCCAGGTGGGTGAAATTGTTCTACTTGAAGATAACAACAAAAAACGTGCTTTTTGGAACCTGGCGCGTGTCATAAAGCTGCTACCTGGTCGTGATGGACAAATAAGACTTGCTGTCATAAAAACAGAGACTTCTGAGTTTCTGAGACCAGTGCAAAGACTGTATAGACTTGAGCTGGATAACCCAGTCCAAAAGGATATGACTGAAATATTCCTATGACTATACCAGCAGTGGTAGAACTGTGAAACCAGTGATACGTCTGTGAAATGTTTTTGTACTTGTTTGAATACTTTTAATAATTTGATTTATTTTTATTTTTCTAGGTTTAGTATTATCTGTTAATATGTCTAGAAAATTATGGAATGCTGCATCTCCAGGTAAATTTGTATTTCAATTTAATTAGAACATCTTGGTAGGCATAATTTTATACTTCAATGTTGTATACTGTACTATTATGCATATATTATACTTAACAGATGTGTGAATTTACCTCCCAGTAAATTCAGGTGGGAGGAATATGTAGCGAATAGTTTATCCAACAGATGGCAGTATCTGCCAAGCTCCTTTGGTAATTGTCAATGCGCATGCGCAAGTGGAGTGTAAAAAGAAGTATGTTATTAGGAGAATGAGCTTTCGTTAATAATGTTGCTGCGCGTTTTTCGCTGTGTAAATAAAAAGTATATTTTTTATATCATAGATGTTCTTTACTCTCTAATGCGAAGCACTAGGTTAGTGCACGAATCTCTTCTGATTCAGAAACCATTTTCAAACCGTGGATCACCACAACATCACCAGTTCAACACGAGGCTAATACGACCTTATAAATCACACAACGCAATGCTAAATAGTTAGGTTAGATTTTAGGTAATTTAATTTGTTGAGGTTATGTTCTTAAAAGCACCTTAACACTTGAAACACAAATATAATTATAATAGTTTGTTGTTTTCTCCATTGAAGATTGAGATTAGATCTTCCCAATCTGGATAAAATAAGGCTTTTTTTGCAGACATTCTGCAGCTAAACGAAAGAAAGAATCTATTTTAATAAATTGAGGTATTTTATATTTAGTTTGCAGCATACATAAGAAAAAAATATGTGCATTAAATTTCGTGATGGTATGTCATCATACTGCTAGAATTAATTTCAATATTATGCCAGAGAAATTTCCTGAAATTTAGAAATATTATTTTACTAATAATTAATAAATTTAGAGGGAAGAAGCATCATTAAATTATACGAATAACATAAAAATAAAGATAATTACTTAAAAATTGAATTAGAATAATCAACGATATTTTAGCGAATATAGTTATATTACATGGTTAGCCTAGATGACAGATTACTATTTTTTATTTTACTGCAAAATGGCAAGGTATTTATTAAAAAGAAAAGCTTAAAAAGATTTTGCGGTAAAATTCCAGTATACGGTGAGGCTTTGGCACGATTTTGAAAATTGTCGCCAAGACCAAAATGACCCGTTTAGTGCGCATCATCATGTCGCCAAATGCATACATGGAGATTATTTTAAACCAAAAACGTCTATGCAAAAATCTAATTCTTTGGTCTATGTAAAGAAGAAAATTTTCCATACAAGTAAAATGCTATTACGCCGCTAGAATGCGGAGGGAAAATTTGCCAAGGGATTTGGCTACGGAACCTGGCGGCCAGAGTTTTCCCTCTCCGCGATGTGTACCGGAAATTGAGAACGTGTTAAGAAACGTTCTTTGACAAAAAAAAAAGCTACGAAAATCCGTTTTTAAAATTATTGCGAAAAATCCAAGAACAACGTTTTATCAAAGGACGTTTCTTCTTGGATTTTTGCAATAATTTTAAAAACGGATTTTCGTAGTTTCCCCCCCCCCTCTGAAAATTACTAACCTATGAATTAATTTACTTGCGCCAAAAAATATTTTCTTTTAATTTAGAGTTTAACTACTACTGCGCTAAGACTAAACTTTACGGTTGCGGTGCCGTGCGCTACAATATAGCAAGTGGTAAAGTGTCTCATTTACGCCGCTCCGCATCTGCGAGTGCAATCCAGAGCTGTAACTCGAGAAATAAACAATCTCGTTGTTAGGCGACGTGTGCACCATGTTATTTTCATTTTTTGCGATAAATGCTTATCGACGTGGTGTTCACGTCGCTCGCAGTTTGAAACAAACAAAAATCTCGACGTGCCTGGCACGTCTTTTTAGCGCAAGTGGTTAAAGAATTTTAAAGGATATTCATTTAATGAACTCTTGATAACGTGACCTTCGAACTTCGACACCGGTTTCCAGCTTTGGCGGCAGATATATCACGCATGCACAGCTTTTTTTCCTTCTATGATGGAACGGAGCCACGTCTGTTTTCAGAGAGGTTTTCCTTCTTTACAATACATATTCTTTGATTCTAACCTCCATGGTAACCGTATACTAAGATTAAACCCATTTGGTTTTATACGAGAACAGGTACTTTCTTTAGTTCATGCACTGCACATGCGATTCTCGAGAATGCTGGAAACCAAACCATTGCGGGAAACTTGCTTTCCTGCGAAAATTGGCTCTATGCCAGCAGACACTCACGTGATAGGCAATTCGCCAAAAAAGTTATCTCTTCCGACGTCGGCGCAAAAATCGCTTTTTTTTTGGCGGGATCATTGTATGAACTTCCCTGACTTTTCCAGATTTTGACAAAAATACTTAAATTCCCTGACTTTTCCCTGAATTTTTTGGTCAATTTTCGAATTCCCTGACTTTTCCCGGTTCTCCCGGTTTTCCAGGTAGCGTAGTGGTGATTAAATAATCATATTTTTCACATCTGTTCAGAAGAATTTTCAATAGGATGAAAATCTGATAAACGTATAATAATATAAAAAATCTTGTCAAATACATCTTTTGATAAAACAATTTTCAACATCTATAACAAAAATATCTGTCGAGAAAAACTAAATACTTTTATGCACTAAATACCAACAACACAAATATTATGAATAAAGATTATGATGGAAAAATACCTATACTTCTCTAATGACACTTCATTTCCATCAATATCTTTAGCTGAAAAATCATATATTGATTTAGCTGTTTTCCAGTCTGCATTTCCTGAAGCTGTTGCCTGCAAAGAACAAACAGTTAAAAAAAAAAAAAAATATTAACATTATGATCAATAACACAAGGCTGCCTCTTTTAGAAGAACATTTTTAATGTCTTACCATTGTTGCAGAAAAAGGCACAACTTTGCTTTGAAAATTCCAAGCTACAATTGAAAAACATTTAAATATTACGATGGAATATATTTGAAAAATATTTAAATATTACTATTTCTAATGAATTTAGGACACTAAAAAATACAAAATTATTCTCATCATATTTCAATGCTTAATCTAGGTTCTTTAACCCTTTGTGGCACATTGTCCAGTCTGGACACACCTAAAAATTTCCTTCTGTACGCACAGAAAAGTTGAATGTAAAAGAATTTATAGGTTACTCTAATCCTTCTTTATTTACAGTAGATGGCAGCTCAACAAAAACCAGTCCATATATTTTAGCCATGTTAATTTTTTAAGACCTCTCATTTTTCAAAAAAAAATCTTCCAAATTTTTTAGGGTATAAAAGGAATTGTTTGAAAAGAAATTTCTATGTTATTTTTTTGGCTGTTTGCTAATCTCATTATTCTATATTACTTTTAAATTTTCCCCTTGAAATCTTGCCTAAAATCAAACGGCGAACCCTAGGTGTGCCCAGACCGAGCTGACCGATAATCTAGGACAACTGAGAGTCTGTATTCTTTGTTTCTCCGCATCTCATCGGTCAGTTCATTAACAACATTGCTCGTTTCAGCACTCTTTTCGAAGCTCTATTCAATCAGTGTGCCCTCGGGCACACCCACAGAAATAAATAGTAAGTGCTATTTTCACAAAATTTTACCTGTGTGCTCCTCTAGGCCTAATTAGACTGCCTACCTTTTTTTATATAAGGAAGCATGCCGGAAAGGGTTAAAAAAATACATTTCAATTAATTAATTGGCTCTACTCTTATATGCGCCCTAAGATCACCAAACGTGGCGATGTGTGTTCTGCACTGGTTTTTGGCACGATTTTGTGCTGTGGGATGGTTTGGTGGATGATGCTTTTTGTATGGCAACCCTTTTGATGCTGAAACTTAACTCTTTTGCTACAGTGGTTTAATTGCTCGTTGGTTCATGTCATGCATGTTTTGAGTGTTGTAATGAAAGACGTGGTGGCAAGATTTCAGTAGCGTATTTTAAATTGTTAGCAAAGTAAATTTAGTATTAAAAGGTATGATGTTGAAGTTGTTAAGGAGTCTTTTGTTTACGGGTGTGTTTAAGCGGAAAGAAGTGCATTTTTGGAATTTCTGTAGGAGTCAGGACTTTTAAAACGGAGTTTGGCGTGTCAAAAATGCGGCGCTCATGGGAGAACTCAGACGAAGACTGGTGTTTCTAATAAGAATTGTGTGGGTTTGCAGTCAAATAGTTGCTGGTAAAGTATGTGGTTATAAGCGGAGTTTAAGATTTGGATCGTCGTTTTCGTGTAGTAAGTTAACTTTGCAGGAAGTTTTTATCTTTACTTTTGAAATTTTGAATCGCAGAAAGATATGCAATATAGCAAAATCGTGGCACTTTAGTTCACAGATGCTATGTGACTGGGGAAATTTTATTCACGTATGTATTATGTTAAGTGGATTTTATTTTATAGAATGTTATGATCATTGTTTTTTTACTATGAATTTCTGTTGTTATTTGATTGTTTGAAATTTTAGTTATTTTAGTTTATTTTGTTGATTTGTGTGCAATGCCTAGATTGTGCAATTTATAGATTTTTCTTTTTTTTAAGTTTAAATAGAATGCTGTGTACATAGTACTCTTTGAAATTTATAGTTATGTTAATTTATTAAAGCGACGTGTGTGTAGTTTGTAAATTCCTTCGCTGCCTAGATTGCGTAATCTGATTCTTGTCAACTTTACATTTTTGCTGATTTTTTTTTTTTTCCTTTCCTCCAGATTTTTAGCTTGTGTGTTTAAAACGTGATTTTTTGGAGACATTTTAGGCTTAAAGTTTGAAATGTAGATAAAAATTTAGATGGTAATATGGCACCATGGAGTTTCTCCCTAAAAATATTTGGCGAGAAATTTGTTGCCAAGCGAGGGCATATATAAGAGCAGTTCGAATTAATTTATGATTTCTACTTATCACGAGATTTGGAAGATATTTTTTTATAAAATTTCTTTTGGCTGATCTTTCGAATATGGTAACTGGTAGTTTGGCGACATTTTGGAGGCGATAAAGGTTACTACCGAGGACTTTGGTAATAATGTAAGAAGTACTCAGTTCCGATTACGCATTATTTTGTGTGAGGGAAATGAGAGATCATGAGATATGTCATGTGACATGAATGGATGAATTAAGACTTCTTTAATCGGAAAAAGGGGGGAAATTTGGAAAACTGTAGTACTATATTATTTTGTACAGTCAAAAGTCGTTAATTCGGACACCCATAATCCGGACCTCAAAGCTACAAACTTTCTGCGCATGCGTCGCGTTGACGCATGCGCGTGACCTTTACCGCTGCAAATTTGCGTGTGCGCGTGCGCAAAATACGTTTACGAATGCGCGTTTAATGTATAACGGACGGGATAAGCTAAGCTAAAATTATCTAATTATCTATTTTCAGTGTTGCAATTTCGAATGATTGATCCGATTATTATTTTTGCAGACTGTTAGTTTTATAAAAGTAAGCTTGAACTTTCGATTATGTCAAATAGAATTTCCGATATATATTTACTAATATGTAAAGGATATACAAAGCGAAAGTATCTTTCGGAGTCCATTAAACAAAAAGTGGAAGTGCTGCAAAAAATGGATAAAGGCATATCCTTTGGTTATCTAATCTTTAACGTTTGTTTATCTTTAACGCCGCAGCGGCGTGCAGAATTGGAAGTTCATCTGTCAGCACTATCCTTATCTTAAAGGGCAGATGTTTTTATTTTATTTGGCTTATAATTCCTTACTCAATGTAGTATTTCATCTCGATGTACTCCGTCTTTAATATGATTTAAATCAAATGCCTCGTCATTATAATTCGCTTCCGATAGCGAAGAAAGTGACAGAGGTTATTGAAAACAAAAAAATTTCGATTGACAAATTAGTGGGTATTCTCGACACAGCAATTATAGGACTTGAACAGCGGAACTTTGTAACTGAACAAGAAATTGTCTGTTTATAGAATTAAAGGAGAATGTATTATCACATAAAAACGAAGCAACTTAAACAACTTACATTGAAAGAAATGTTTAATAAAGTAAACAAATAAATATTAAGTTTTTTTTTTTTTTTTTGTAAATTTTGATACCCTTTAGATCATAATTGTTCTTTATTTCGTAAATTACGGTTTCATATTTTTAATTTTATAATTTCTGCATGCCATTTTAGCAGATTTAAACTGATGATCTATAATCCGGAAAAATCGATAATCCGGAATCGCCGAAGTCCCGACGAGTCCGGATTAACGACTTTTGACTGTATCAAGCTTCATTGTGTGTTGTGTGAAATAGTGGAAGTGTGCGTGCCACGTAATGAAGATTAGGTAAGTTAGTATTTTTAATCATTTGAGGATATTATTTTATGCATTGTTCTAAATGTAAGGAGTAAATAAATTAATATGATATTATTGGAAAATTGTTATTAGCAATGATTTAGTTTAAAGTAATTAGGATTGTAATCCAATTTTTATTAATTTAATGTATGTGCTTATTTATATTTTAAGTAGTGTTTTTTAATTTAATTACATTTTAATTTAATGATCGTGATTTTGTGAGTTATATGTTTGCAGTATTTTGGAATACGTTTGAGTAGAATACGTTGAGCATTTTCATGCATTTTCGTGAAATTTTTCTAATTTATGAGAAAAAAAGCAGTGTACATGGACATAGTGAAGAGTGTGCGCAATGCCATTTTTGTGCAATTCTGGGATTTTTTTAAAGTAAAAAGTCGACGTGTACATGGTTTAGTGATATTTTAATTAAATGATAGTTATTTTGTAAATTTTATGTTTGTAGGAATTTGGTATACTTTTCAGTTGTAGTAAACATGCATGGAAGTAATTTAAATATTTGACACTAAGTATTTGTAACCATTTGTAATGTTTGCGGTATGAATTCTTTGGTGACGTTTATAATAGATAATTTAGAGGTAAAAGTTTTTGGATATTTTATTTATTTTATACGTGGAAATGTTCATCCTTGGAAAAGGTATATACTTTTTCGCGATCAGGTAATTTCATATATGTGCTTTTTACCGAATTTAAAGATTCACAGAATTTTTTTGCATTTCGTGCAAATTTTTGTAACTTATGAGAAAATAGCAGTGCAAATGGATAAAGTTACGAGTGTGTGCAATGTCATTTTTGTGCAATTCTGGGATTGTTTTTAAGTAAAAATAAGTCGACGTGTAAATGGTTTATGTGTATGTGCTATTCTGAAAAACGCGCAAGGAGTTTGCGATTGTGCACTTTTTCCCAATTTCGCAGGTTACCTAAAATTTCTAGCATAAGTGTAATTCGGCTAGTAGATTGTTAGAAAAAGTGTTCAGTAAATAAAAAGAAAAGAAACATGTCTTTACTTCGTGAAGACAAAATGGCGGCGAAAAAAAAAAAAATAGAGGGTTGCTGTAGCAGAGTTGGTCGCCAAATTTTTGCCAAGTTACCATAATCCAAAGATCAACCTTTGTTTTAAAAGCATACATTAGTACAACCTGCCTGTACAATGCTATCTCGGTAAAAGTTTACAATTGGGTGCCCCTTGTTTATTGGCGATTCTTTTTTGATGCAAAGATCGGCGCCAGGAAGTCACAATTTCAAGATGGCCGCTAACACAAAATCAAAATAAGAAGTCGAACAATTGCATAAGATCTGTGTCCATGTACACATCGATCTGTTTTTACTTAAAAAAACATGCTAGAATTGCACAAACTAGGCATTGTGCACTGCCTTAAATATGTACATGTACACATCAATCTATTTTTATTTAAATAAAATCGGGAAGCTAAAACAAAGTTAAAACTATCGTGGTAACCAGAAGTGAGGTTTCATCGGCAAAATTTTTTTTAAAATGTCGCCAATCGAAGGGGCACCCAATTCTACACTAAAGCCATTATCTCCATCAAACCGATATGATATTTAAAAAATATCCTTGTAAATCAAACGTTTTGTTTAATACTCAAAGCTATGTCTGTATTTTTAAACAGTGAAATGTCTATATTTCGAATATTAGACATTTCACCATAAAACTACCTCAAGTACCTGATATTTCAGTTAGTTTTTACAGTATAACATCTTCCAAGTGAATATTTGAGGAATCATTCTAAAACACTGGGGGCTTTTATTTTAATTTTCTTATCAGTTCATTTTATTTTGGAAGCAACCTTTCTTATAGCTTTCCACCCATGCTTTCTTTCCAAAATGAGATTTAAGTTTCAAGCATTATGTAAAAATAGAGTAGAAAGCTATACGCCAGTGTCAATTATTTCAGACACAGCATGTTCTGCCTTCTGGCCATGTTGTTCTTTGTTACTTAAGCTTGCTATTTTTCAGCTGTGCGTATTAATTGCCAGTTAGTCTATATTGATGGTAGACGAAAGCCAACTATGCTTTTAATATTTCTGTACAGCTTCAGCTGATTTATTCAACTTAAGATTAGTTTTAATTTACGTTTTCTATTTTGAGTTGCCACTATAAACACAATGAGTATCATCAGTTCATAGAGTTGAAATAAAAGGGGTGGTAAAATCCTAGTATACGGTGCAGCCTTGGTGCGATTTTGAAAATTATCGCCAACACCAAAAATGATCTAAAGAACGTCTATATACTATACACTATATACTATGTGTGTATATACATAGTATATACTATGCATAACTATATATATTCTTTGAATTTACTCATCGTTTATTACTCATCATATATGTCCCGTTTTTGCTGCTCATCATAAAGTCGCCAAAAGTAGCCAAATCCCGTGTGCACCGGATACTAGGATTAAACCAAAGGTTTTTTTTTTTTTCTTCTCATAGGTTATGAGAAGAATGAGAAGGGACTCACCAATACAAGTTGAACTTGCTGAACAGTCACTTCACAGTTCAAGTTAAGATCTAGCCTTCCAAATAACTTTAGATTAGCTCGAATATTATAATATCATGAAGTAAAAATACTACAAAATGTGACATAGCTACATGCATATTTACAAGCCTGATTATCACATTCTCATGAAAACGTTCCAATGTCCAAATATTGAAATAACAAAATTCTAGTATTTAAGATAAATTTAAATTATATTTTTAGCCACTTCTGATTTTAATATGCATTACTGGTGACTGACATGTTTGCAAATAAGAAAAATTATTTCCGTTCAAAAAGTTTCAGACTCAAATTAAATCACGAATATTTACAGTTACAATAAACAATAAAATATTCATGTTGTGTCATGCCCAAAAAGTGAACAAACAATACTTAGACAAAACAAAACTTAATTTTAATATCAGAATATTGAAAACTTTTGATACAAAACAATACAAAATTATCTGCCATTAAAAAATACGAAGAAATTACGAAAAGGCTTCTGCCCCTAAAGCCTCATCATTGCAAGCTTATATTCTGCATTAATCTTTTTCAATAAAATAGTCATTATAATTCTAAACAAAACAACAGATTTTAAATGATATCCAATTAATTAAAAGTTTGCTTTTTTGTCAATGCTGTGCAAGAGTACACCCAAATCAGAGAAAGGACAATGATAAAATGAGACTACTTAAGGAAATTATGTTTTCTAAGAATTTAGTTATTAAAGCTCACCTCAATAGAGAATTCTCATGCCTACAGTTAGTTTAATTAAAGCCGATTCACATACAAGCGAGCCAGGCAACCACTCCGGGCACCGAGGTATTCTACGAAGCAACAACTAAATTAAGATACATTTCGCTCTGAATTATTAAATTACTAGATGTCAACTATATACTGATCACCTAGAACACTTGCAGCAGGGTACGTTAATTTGTGATACGTACGTGTTAATACGTACGTTAATTTGTGAGGAAAATTTATTAGGTGTACTTGCTAATATGCTACGATTGCAAAATTATGCACAAATTCTTAAATGATACTACAACATATTACTGCCGGTATTAATTTATTTACTCCGCTTATCTCTTTATTTTGTTTTCCATAAATCAAAATTAGATGTGGTGTTGCTCGGAATTTTCAACTAGATATCATGAGATAACGCCTTTTATACCATGCCAAAATATTTAGTATTCAACTACGAACTACTTTTAAGAACAAGAAATATAACATCAAGCTGTCACAGTTATTATAAACTATATTTGCAGTCCGCAGTTCCTTAACTTCAATAATGCATTGATTTCACGTGATTCATAAGCAATTCTAAGCACCTTACTCACTGTCCTTGCGACTATTAAATTTAGGTTAATAAGCCGGTAAGAAAAATAATTCCAAATTATATTAAACACTCACTAAAGATTCTTCGCAGGAACATAAATCCGTAAACAGTCAAGAAGATGAGTACAACTGAATAGAACAAAGTCCTACAACGCATTAAAATTCACAAATACACCTACGGATTCAAAATCCCAAGGTTATTTGAGTACTAAAAATTAAACGCCGCACATCTGTGATCTGCCCTTGGAATTTCATGAACTCCTATTGGTTCACAGAGCTGGTGTTATTTATATATTCACCACACCCATGGAGAAGGTTTACATAATAAAAATTTATAACATCCTTCCACTATATTATAAGAAAAATTAAACAAATAAAATTTTGTTTTTCAGTGAAATTTGTTTCTAAAAATGTAAATAAGTATAACGGGAGTTTATTCCCATAATTAAAAACAAATATGTGAATTATCAATCAAAAAATTAAATTTTAATTTCAGTATTACACAAATATATCTAGATGAAGTAATTAAGAAACAGGAAGTTCATAATCCAATAACAATTATAATGTGAGTAATTAATAATCATTTGTAAGTGTGTAATATATAACATAACATAGTGTGCGTAATTAATATTATTGTAATAATGACAATCATATCTCCCTCATTTTCTCCCTCGTTTTGTGTTAAGGCTGTTCTCTAGCTTCCTTGTAATCATTTTGAAATGGTTTCAAGAAAAATAGCCACCACTATAGGATGCAAGATCAGGGCTAAAGAAAGAGAAGATCAGGGCTAAAGTCATCCGTTTAAGAATAACGATGCCGACACGAACCCTCTTGGGGAGCATATCCGATGTTATGTGACGTCACTGGGTTCGTCCCGTCGGCGTATTTCCAAACCCTACCCTAGAGCTACTAGTAGCCTTGCCCTACCCCACTTTTCGAATTTTTGACGTCACGGAAATATCGACTAGTTTCGCCATGGAAATATCGCCTACCCACTAGCGGCTCAAAACAGGGATGGCTGTGAGCGGCTCCTTACGGAAGGCCTGTTATGCGCATGCTCACGGACATCGTGAAATGTATTTATTTTCAAATGATCATTGGGCTACTACATTTGGCTATTATGCGCCACTTGGCGTTGTTTCTATCAATTATCGGAAAATTCGAATGTGAGAGTGGTTCCTTTTTCACTTTATATATAAATAATATTTTTCACACATATGATAACTGTTTTAAATGCTGAAAATGAAAGATCTGCTATTTAGACAGAGTTCATTGCGAACAATGAAAACTGAACAGTTAAATATTAAAATTCTTTCCGTGAAAACATTCACGTTCAGCTTCCGAGCCATCACTAGGCAGAAGAGACATTTTTCGAATATTATGATAGTGCTTCTGAGAACAAAATAAGAGAAATTCCTGTCATAAAAATAAATATTTTGGGTGCTAGTTTCCCTAAGAAAGGTCCTCCATGGAAGCATCCCTTCCCTTAGGCAGATAGTCCATATGAAGTTAACCTAACCTGAAAGTAATAATTTTATTATGGATTGATTTGAAGACATCTTTAACAAACTTAAAAAAAAAAAAAAACCCTACAAATTTCAGAATTTTTTCTCTAATAACCATAATCATATTTATTTAGTTTTGGAATAATTATTTGAGTATTTTCCATTCATATATAACTTTAATGCTCATGTAGATTACAAAAAAATATTTTCCTAAATTTTAAAATGTTCTATGGGAATCAAAGCTATTACATTTAAAGAGGTTTGCTAGTTTAATTGAGAATGATGAAATGTGTGCTAGCTACCTAACAGAAGGAATATCTTCACTGAGAACTAACGGATTAGGATTATTTGGATTATGTAAAAGTATTTTACAGATATCTGCCTTAAGGAGGAATGCCTCACGACCAACAATAGAAACTTCCACAGAAGCTCTAGGGTTATATCAGAATCTCCTTCTAAACAAACCTTCCAACTTCATGATTGAAATTCATCGTTGCATAATATAGTAAAATTAACTTTCTTACATCAGATTTCAACCGCTTTATATACCTATTATGCAGTCATTTTATTTCTATCGTTATATTATTTATGCCCCATTTTAGAGAATTTTAAAAATGCAAATTAAAAAAAATAATAATGAAATAGTGGCAATACATGTTTACTGACTTTCGTAAATGTTTCTCTTATGTAGTGTGATTAATTGAGTATGACATACTTCTTCATTTATGCTTTCATCACCTATAAATTTAGATTTTAGAAGTATTAAATGTTTAAAAATTATTTGTAATAAGATGTTCTTAAACGAGTTTTGTAGTTCTTAAACAAGTTTTGTGATTTCATAAAGTAAGAAAATTGCCCAAATCAAAAATAAATTTTTATTTTACTAAAAAAACCATATAGTATATCATATAGTAATCATCTATAAAAATTTCATACAGTATTTTAACACTTGAAAAATAAGGAAATGTAAGAACTCAATAACAAGTTTTAAAGTACATAATAAATTACAAAAAGGGAAAAAAGAAAATTATCTTGCAGTTTCGGATACAAAAATTTTATCATAAAATGTTTTTAATTGATTTTCAGCTACACCGCATACTAATAATAGTAGCAAGTAATAAATTTCTTCAGTTTCATTTTCAAATAAACTGACTTAAATCAAACATCTGAATGTTAGACACATAATTTGAAAAGATTCTTTTTTTTTTTTTTTTTTTTTTTTTTTTTTTTTTGCATATAACCATAACTTGATTTTTAATGCTGAGAACAAGCATAAAAGATCTAAATTATATATCCTAACTTGTTATACGATTACACTTAGATAAAGCAAACTTTGTAATACTAAAGACATAGTTTTTAAGGTTTGAAATAATTTTCAAAGCAAAAACTTCAAACATCCAACTTCTAACACAAATGCGAAACACTTTATATTAGCTCTACATACAATAGTAATAAATAATTACCTAGGTTTGAAATATTTTTTCATGAATATAAATAAACAGGTATTTAATGTTCTGATGTCATTTTCAGGAACAACATGCATGAATAGATTCACATAAACTCTACATTAAATAATAGCTACATTATTTGAAAGAGTATTAATGCTATTAGTCAATATACCAAAACACTTTCTTCAAAATTAGAAAAACTCCATATATTAGAATCAAACTTGTGATTAAATTCACATCAATTATGCATTTGGACATGGCAGATACAATCTGAAAAGGGCCTAATTGATTTAAGTGAATAACCGCAGCCTTGTGTCAAATGATATAAAAACCCTTTACATTCAAATTTTGTCAGAATCATACAACATTTTTTATAATAATTCTATTTACACATCAGAGTTCCATTATTACCTACATTTGAAATTACCAACATATTTATAAATAAGGAGGATAACAGTTTTCTGATTTTATTCTCAGAAACATAATGTGCATGAATAGATTCATATACGCCGAATCTTGAACACACTAATTTAAAGAACCTTAATGCCATTAACTAATTTCCAAAAAATTTTCTTCAATACAGCAAAAAATCATGAAACACTCAGATCAAAGCAGAATCAAATTTGTGATTGAATTCACATAAATCATGCATTTGAACATGGCACATACAATTTGAAAAGAGAACGACATTGTTTCGACTGCTATAAAGGCCCTTATATCCAGATTTTACTCGAATCATGAAACATTTTTCAAAAGTTATTATTACTTGTATTAGAAATATACCTTCATGAATATAAATAAGCAAGCAATCATTTTTTTTTTTTTTTTTTTTTTTTTTTTTTTTTTTTTTACTTCACTCTAAGAAACATCATGTAAATAAATAAATTTTTATTAACAAACATTTTAAACTATAAATATACTACTTTGAGGGATTTTTAATTCTATAAAGTTATAACAAAAAACACTCTTTTTCAGTAGCGAAAAGCATTTTAAACACCACGATTTTACAATAATTATATATATGATTAAGTTGACATTAACTAATTATTTTAAATTAGACATAAACTTTTGAAAAGGGCCTTATGACTTAAGTAAATAATTGCAGTATGTATTTTTATAGATACAAAGGACTTAAATAACTAGATTTTCATTTAAAAATACGGTACAATTCCGTTATAGGGACCGCAAAAAATCACCAAAACTATTGTTGATGCCAAAATAATTATGGTAACCTTAACTCAAGAAAAGCATATAATAATAAAAATAACTATCTAAGAGTATTATTTTAATTTAGATGAAAGTTTACTTTCATATAATACACTTTATTATTATAATTTAATAAACAAACGGCTAATTGTAACTGTAAGAAAGCATTATTGTAACTATCTAAGATTATTAATTTAAGTTGATGGAAGGTTAACTTCATATATTACACTTTTTTGTTAATTTAATTTATTAAAAAAAAGGGTTAAAAATAAGTGAAATTAAACGGGAGGCATAAAATTTTTAAGATCCTGCAACATCGCAGAAAAAATTTCAGTTTTTTTTTTTTTTTTTTTTTTTTTTTGTGCAAATGTCTATACATAAACTCGGACAAATAAGAATTGAAATGTGCCCCGATGGTGTTTATTACGCCATTTAGCACTGCCCCACAGTCGCTGTATCGTTTGCGTATGGTCCCCGTTTCGGGGTCCACAAAATTCTAGTTGTGGTTGACAGTAAAATGTTCAATGCCGACATATCGCAGTTCATCCAACTTATATGATTTCTAGCAGTCAGTATAAATAATGCTTCCTTCTGTGACATTTTCCTTTATGATGTTCGAACATCAGTGGCCGAGCGATAAAGTCGCTGAACACTGGTAGTTCGGTCTGAGGTTTGAATCCCGCAAACGGGCTGGCTGTATGGACAATTTAATGGTTTTCTCTATGTGTAACGTGTATACAAGCCAGTTTCCCTTAGAAAGTCCTCCACGTAGGCCTCTCTTCCCTTAGGGAGATAGCCCTCGAGGCTTTGCTCTAATCACATAAACCAAACCAAACCTTTATGATGTTCCATAAGGTTTTCACCGATCGATCTGGAATAGCGACTAAAACATTCTTTTGATTCTCTGCACAATCCACCGAAAACCCATTGTGGCAGAAGAAGACGTCCAATGTTATTCTTGCTTCTACTGAAAAGGCTTTTGTCTGCTTCATAATTTTTTCCACATCCGCCGAATTTCAACTTAGGCTGAGAAATTAAAGCTATGGCACACACCTCACGCATATCTTCC